TCCTTGTGCCCAAAGGCCCCATCCAGGCTCAGCAAGTCTGGCCATCACACCTGAGTTGTGGGCAAGCACTGTGAGGAGAGGAGGGGCTCAGGCCACAGAGTGATCCCATGACCTTCATGACCTCACACTGATGGAGATGTGCTGTGGCACCCAACACCCTCTTATGTGCCTGCCTACCCAGGAGAGACTCTTCATGGAAATGTGGCCCCCAACACTGCTCCTGCCCCACTTCTCCCACTCTTGCTTTTCCACCAATACAGGAAGATCACTCCAGTCCATTTCTGCCCTTGGGCACACAGCTGGGAAAAGCATGTCCTGCTGCAAGCCTGAGTACCACAGGGTGGGCTATCTCAGGAGCCACAGCAATATGCTCAGATGGATCGAGGTGTGTGGTCAAAGACCCCTCAATCTTTGCAAACATCAGCTCCTCCAGCTGTTTCCTTCCCACAAAGGAGCTTCTGCACAGGGGTCTGCACCTGCAGCTGTCCCAACCAAGCTCATGGCCCCCCACCAGTGCTGAGGTGCCACAACATCCCCATTGCAAGCATTGCCCCAGCATCAGTGAATCTTCCCCTTGTTAGCAGCACCAAAGGGAACAGAAGGGCCCTGCATCCTGAAGCCTCTGGAGCATGAGGGCAAGTTCCCAGCCTGGCCAGCCCCACACACCTGCACACCACCCTTCCCAGACCTGCCTCTACCTTTCCAAATTCTGCTCCTTTGGCCGTGGAGGCAGACCAGAAAAATTGCAGAGGAATTCTCAAGGGTATGCTGTTGTTCTAGTTACAGGGGACCTCCCAGGGACCCTCTGCCTTGACCAGCCAGCATAAGTCTAGCTACTGCTAAGCCCAGAGCAGCTGATCTTTGTGGTGTCTCTGAGGTTAGTTGATAATAAGGATGGCTGACTTGGCAATACTGCCTGGACTAGGGGAGCTGGAAAAGGAGACGGGAAAAGACAGGGTTCAGTAAGGCAGGCAGCTTGATACTGGAATGTAGGGACTCCTCACAGAACTCTGCCATGGTAGTTTTTTGGATCATGTCAACAATCCTCTGTGCCACTGTGGCAGCATCACTGCTGCTGTCATGGCTACCTTAGACAGCCTCATCCTTGGCTTGGACCTCAGTGATGGTTAACGTGTTCGTGGAACCGGACCCGGATCCAGAGAATCGCGAAGGGATGCCCGAGGGTCTCCTGTCATTGAAGTAGATCACAGTGACAGGGCCAGTGCCAGGGACCTTCTGCTGGAACCAGGCATACCAGCTGCTAGTCCTGGAGCAGGTGATCCTGACAGTCTCTCACATGCTTGCTGACATTGAAAATGGCTGATCCACTGCTGCTGCCTGGACCAGGAAACCTGGAGAGGGAGAGAAGGGAGGGGAGAAGACAGGGGTCAGTGTTCCAGGAGCACATATATCCTTATCCACATGCCTGGATAAGGATACAGGGAATGCAACAGTCAGAGGAGAAGAGACATGGAAAATGGCCACAGGCACAACTGGGGAGCAGAGCCCAGCCCCAGGTACCCCTGCACAGAGGCACTAGCAGGAGAACATGGTCATTAGTAGTAGGTCAGAGAACAGTGGGAGACAAAGCCATGCTATGGGTTTTGTAGGGAGCAGAACAGTGATCCTCAGCCACAAAGTCACTTTGCACTCTCTAGGACACAAAATGGGAAAAATTCAGGATCTTTTGGAGGAAAGAAAAACTTGCTCCTGTCCCACATCCACAACTCTGTTTGGTTGTGAGAATGACAAAAAAAATCTCCATTTTTAATTCCTCTGTACCTCACTTGAAAATCTGTCCTTGTCACTATACCAGCAGCACTGCTGTCCCTGCCACCACAGAAATAGACAGCCTCGTCCTCGGCTTGGACCCCAGTGATGGTTAATGTGCCCGTGGTGCCGGACAAGGATCCGGAGAATCGGGAAGGGATGCCCGAGGGTCTGTTGGTATTAGCATAGATCACAGTGACAGGGCCAGTGCCAG